CTGCCAGTGCCCAGTGCCAGCCCGATCACTCAGCACATCAGCGGGGTGCGAGCAGTGGCTGCCAACTGATCGCCCTCAAGGCTCTCCACTCCCCTTCTCCTGAGGGGAGATCGGTGCGGCAGCCGCTCTGCACCCGCTTTCAGCAATGGCGCCACTCACACCTACTGCTGGGGCCACCGCTCACACCTGCTGCTGGTGCCAGCACGGTTCCCAATCGCTCAGTGCCATCAATGGATGTGAGCGGCGACTGCCAGGCCTGATTGCCCCCGAAGCTTCTCCACCTCCCCTGTGCTCCTGAGAGGCGATCGGAACAGCAGCCGCCACTTGCACCCACTGACGGTGTTGGCCCCGCTAGCACCTGCTGCTTGCGCCGGCCCCAATTGCTCCACACTGTCAGTGGGTGTGAGTGGAGCTGGTGCCGTCAGTGCATTGGAGTGGCAGCAGTGGGACCAGGGCTGACTGTAGACAGGGGACCGGGGCTGCAGTGGGAGGGGCCAGGCAGGTGCACGGAGGATGGGCTGAGACTGCCTCTGTGCCCACCGCAGCCTCACAGCCCACAGTTCCTTTCAAGGTGCATGAATTCATGCATTGGACCCCTACTGTATATTATACAGTATTAAATTTCAATCAAATTAAAAGGAAATTAACATGGCAATTTCAAGAAAATGTTACTGAATTCCACCAGGTTTTAAGAATTAAACAGGAGAGATTAAAAATGGCGGCAGAGAGATTAAAAATGGTGAAAGAATAGGTGATACTGCACGGACATGCTCCCAGGAACAAGCTGGAATAACAACTGAAATACGGAAAGGCTTCCTGAAAAATCAACAGAAACCTCACAGGAGAGAACCCTGATACCCAAGGACTGAAGGTGTGGAGACCGCATAGTGACTGGTAGGAGGGGTGGAAGCGTGAAAGGGCTGGCTGGGCACCCACAGACAGCAACTGAAGTCCCATAGAGATATCTCACCTGTGGGTGGGGGACTACCACTGAGAACTCTGGGATCCAATCTCGAAGCTGGCCTCCCCAGCAGAGAGCACTAAACTGAGGAGGATACCTACATAACATCAAGCTGTGAAAATCAGTGGGGTGCTATCTGCCATGGAGTGGCACCTGAAAGTTCCAGCACCCTCTTGATGGGCCAACACACAAAAATTCCCTATGGAGCCACCCACCTTGTGCTCTGGCAGAGGAAGGGTGAAGTGGACTGGAGCTGTGAGAGCAGAACCCAGGATTGGGAATTCGGGGGATAGAACTCAGAAGGCAGACCCCCCAAGTTTCCTGGGCTGTTATTCCACCATGCAGCAAAGGACATCTTTCCCACATAGACATCTGCCTTGCCTTGGGGGAAGACAGTTGACACACCCTATTGGAAAACATCTTGCCCTGAGACTACTTAAGAGATTAAAAGTAACAATTAGCCTCCAGGCAGAAGCAACTGCCCCACCCTATTGAAAAACTCTCACCACACCTGAGGATGATTGCCTGGGGGTAATTCAAGTCAGAATTTTATTAGTCTGCAGACAGAGGTGGTCTCTGGAGGCTTTAAGTCTTTGTCTGATCCAATTAGTCAGAAAAAGCCTTTAACACAGTCCTGCACTAGAGATTGAGAGGTGTAGAGGATCTACTTAATACATAGTCACAAACTCAAACAGACAACCAAAATGAGGAAACAAAGAAACAAGCCCCAAATGAAAGAACTAGATAATTCTCCAGAAGAGATTAATGAAGCAGAGATAAGAAATTTATCTGAAACACAGTTCAGAGTAATGATGGTAAAAATGCTCAACAGTATGAAAAAAGATATAGCAACTATGAAAAAAAAGAACAGTCTGAGATAAAGAATGACATAACACAAATAAGGAAAACATTGGAAAGAACACACAGCAGAATAGGGGAAGCTGAGGATCAAATCAGTGAATTAGAAGACAGAGTTGAAAATATCACTCAATTAAAGAACCAAAAAGAAAAAACAATTAAAAAACCAGAGGACAGCTTAAGGGAGCTGTGGGACAGTGTGAAATGTAACAATATTAGAATAGCAGGTGTTCCAGAAGAGTCAGAAAGGGAGAAAGGCATAGAGAAGGTGTTTGAAGAAATAATGGTACAAAACTTCCCTAACCAGGTAAAGGAAAAAGTCACACAAGTTTGGGAGGCACAGAGAACCCCAAACAAGAAGAACCCAAACATACCCACACCCAGACACATCATAATTAAAATGCCAAAAGAAAGAATCTTAAAGGCAGCAAGAGAAAAGAAAACTATTACCTACAAAGGAGTTCCCATAAGGATGACATCTGATTTCTCATCAGAAACTCTACAGGTCAGAAGGGAATGGCATGAAGTACTCAAGGTAATGGAAAGCAAGGATATGAAACCAAGATTACTATATCCAGCAAGGCCATCATTCAAAACAGATTTTCAAATAAAGAGCTTCCCAGATTAAAAAAAAAAAAAAAAAAAGACTAATGGAGTTCATCACCACCAAGCTGTTATGCCCAGATTTCAGGATCCCCAAGAAACCACATCAGGGAGCCAGCCAGTCCAATGCAAAAGCATAAGAGTCTTTATTCGAGCTAGCTCGGCTCCCCCACCTTGCCGATACAGCGACAGGAAGCAGAGAGAGATAACTCTGTGTGGAGACGGGTTTTATAGGGGGGGTTGGAGTAAGGGGAGGAGAAAGGACTGTGCTCTGCTGATTGGCCAGGCACAAGTCGGTGTCTTGTTCCTGGGTGTGGCTAGCAGAGGCTTAGACTTCCGAGAAGAAGCTCCTTGCCAAGCATGTGGCCAAGGTAAGATGGAGCACTTACCCTGGGGCAAGCTGGAGGGCCTAGCCCTTACCCTGGGGCAAGATGGAGGGCCTAGCCCTCGCCCTTTCATTCCCCCCTTTGTCTTGGAACTTCCAGCTCAATCATGAGACGGACTGCATTTCTACTCTACCGTTGCTAGAGGCCCGAACTGGGCACACAGAACTATCAACTGAACTATCCCTATATGCTTAACAAATGGTCCGGTGGAAGGGAAAGAAACCATTTTAGCTTTAGCAACTTCTATTGAAATAGGATTTTTCTTCTTAAAATTCCTCCATGGCTATCAAAAAGCCAAATCAAGATTAATTTATCTACTGTCCTGATGTTTGCATAAACACAACAAGAATGGTAACTGACTACCTTTGCTGGAATCTCATGGTTGAATTTTAATATGCCCCGTAGGGCCAGGAAGCCAAGCCATCCAGCTGCCATCAGGCCTGCCTGCAGTATCTGCTGAGTTAGGTGAATCCCTCACCTGTAGGAACTCCACCTGAGCCCACGCTCCAGGCTTTAAGCCCATCTCAGTAGCCCTCCTACTTGTTGCGGCCCAGAGTGAGTGGGGGTTCTGCAGGGACGCAGAGGCATCCTTACTGCTCCCCTTCTACTCTTACCAACCGCCAGTGATGGTAGGGCATCAGCCTGATGCTCCAGCGCCAGCCATCTTCAGGGCTTCCAAGCAGGATACCAGGCTTTCTTCATGGCATTCTTACTGGCTTCAAGACTTTAGAGCTCAGACAGGGCTCTTTAAAACATGATACTCCAGTCAAAGTTTTCCATTAATAAAACCACTATTAGGAACCAGTCTTATTGAATCTGTGCAAAGAAATGTATTGCCATGACTTATTTAGCATTGCCAATATTTCAGAGGAATTATAAAAGGAGAAAAACATACTGATCGGCTCTAAGATTTTCTGACTTTTCTTGCCAATTCCTTTTAACAAAACAGTAATTGTTGGCATTAAACTTTCTTTCTATGCATAACCATGCCTCAGACCTTCTATTCTAAACAGGCTTTTTTTCCAGCTTTACTACCCCTGACATGGGCATGGTGACTCAGGCCTGCAAGACAGTATTACAGGCTGCCACTGTTAGCTGTCTCTCAACAGAGACCAAAACCTGATGGGCACCCTTTCCTGCCCATTTGGGCTCCTGCCCTCTTGGCAGCTAGCCATCCTTTACTTTTGGGGCTCACCCCACACAGTCCCCTTCCAGGATAGCCAACATACATTCAAACCTGCAAGAGAATCAAAGGTCAATATAACATATCAATACAATGACTAAAGTCTATTCTTGACCTTCCTATAAATTGTCCTTGTCTCTTTGGAGCCATGTCCATGTCCATGAAGATGCAGGCATCATCTACAATGTTACCAGCATCAGGCAGGTCGAGCACACCATAGCTTGAGCTTGAGTGGGTGGCGTTGATCTCGATCGGTGCTCCATTTGGTGACGAAGTCTTCCCGGATCACGGATGGACCCAGGTCGCGACACCGTCTACCTTGAGAGCGGTGGGGGTCGTCAGCACCACAGTGTAGGGACCCTTCCAACGTGGCTCGAGGGTCTCCTGGCGGTGCCTTCTGTCGTAGACCCAATCTCCTGGTCTGTGCTGATGAGGAGTTGGGGTTGGGCTGGTCTCGTACAGATTCTAGGGCCCGTTGCCTTCCTTTCACAGGCAGGGGGAAGGGCCCATGAAATCTCTGCCCTGAGGAACTGTGAGCCCCACCCTTAAATGTCCCAATCAGACTAGAAAAGCCACAAATACCTTTTAAATCTACCCCAGAATTCCAAAATCCCAACCCAGCACAGAATATCACATAGCAAATAAAAGTTCCCAGCAAACAAACAGAAAAACTTTGAATCACCACAGGAGAAAACAAAACAAAACAGAAATAAACAAAAACACTTTTACACAGGCGCATGCCACATTTACAGCACAAAATACCAATAGATAACATAGTTTGATTAACATATTATCTAGAGCCCTTGAGTAACCTGGGTCAAACTT